CCAGTCTTTTGTAACCCTAGCCCTAGCCTATGTTGTAGTACTCGTCAGGGGTATTATATTGGTGGTCCAACCTTAAAAAATGGTTCAGATTTGGGAAAGTTATAAGCATTTTAAGAATGGCTTGTATAAACCAGTGGGGCATGCTTTCAGGCTTGTTGGCACTGAGCCAGGGATTAATTTCTTAGCTTCAAAACCTTTACTAGTGTGTTCATAGACCTCAAAAATGGTAGGGAACATCAAATTTAGATAACTCCTGATGATTTATCATGCTCTAAGACTAGCACAAAGATCAGACATGTTAGAAATGGTTGAAATGACTGATGTTGCAGATTTATTTTGCTTATATCTTGCTTGAATGATAACTGATTGGCAAGATAAGACTACCAATAGACTCATCTTAACTAGAACTACAACTTTCATTAAGAAGCTTAAGGGTGATAATGACTTGTAGGGTTGTAGCACGCCATCAGGGGATTCAAACAGTGGTTTGGTCACATAAAATGGTTGATATCAGCATGAAAATCAAAGATTGGCTTATAACTTACCCAAACCTTGAGTGTTTGACAAGATATGACTAGCTACAGACTTACCTAGACTAGGACTACCATTAGCATTGAGACACCTAAGCCTTATAACAACTTTTATTTTTCAAAGACAAGCCTGATAATGATTTTTTGTCAAGCTTATATCTTACTTATATCTTACCCTATTGACAAGATAAAACTAGCTATATAATTGCCTTGACGAGCAGCACATATTTCATCAAGAAGCCCAAGCATGATAATGACATTGCATATTTGACTTGCATGCAGGGCACAGTTTGGGAACCCTTTTTTGTAATGCTCATATCTCGCTCATGTGAGTCCAGGCTTCGCATGTAGGGAAATAAGGCAAAGATTTTTTGGGGTACTTAGTGTTGAGTTCATTCAAATTCCGGTCATGATCTGCTCCAACTGGTGTAATTGTCATTACGACAGCTGGTGCATTGGTGTTAAGGTCGTGCTCAAGGGAAAGGCAACTCAAAAGGGCTTGGCTTCAGCTTGTGTGCTGCGCCCCTTACCCAAGTATGTGCCCTTAATTTCTGAGAGACAGAGGGGAAGTCCAACGGAAGTCCAGGTAAGTCTGGAGTCAGACACAGGGGGAGTTCAGCAGAACTCTGGAAGGCTAGGAGCGAATAGAGTAAGACTACTTCGGACAAGTCCAGAGTAGAAACGGAACAGAGGTAGACTACCCTAAGGTAGAGCTGGAGGTAGAGTCTTAAGGATTAACCCTAAGACTCGGAGGTGGACAGGAGATCAGACTCAAGTCCAGAGAAGCAGGAATGAGCAGAACTAAGATGAGAGTCAGAGGTACAGTGAAAGGAATCAATCATAAGACTCAGAGATTGACAGAAGACAAAGCTCAAGTCCAGAGATGCAGGAATGAGCAGGAATTTAAGGTGATATTCAAACTGAGGAGTTCTGGAGTTCTACAGGAGTTTATATACTGTAGGTATCATGTAAGTAATCAGTCAGCACAGTAAAAGCTATATTTGAAGCATATGGAGAGTCTATTAGTAAGTGTGCAACGGATCAAGGAAATGAGGTCGGAAATGAAGTGCAAATGGACGGATCAGTAAGCAAAGCGGAGTGCCAGGTGGACAATAGGATGGAAACCCAGACCTTCATAGGGGAGAATCCAGACTTCCGGATCCGGAGGTACAGGAAATAGTGTTGGAGAAAATAGGGGTAGTGTTGGAGGAGTGGAATAGAGTCGGGTGGAGGTAGCAGGGCTAGTCCTGCTGAGACACACTTTGTGCATTGTCAGAGAAGGAGGGATGGAGCAGACGGGGAAACAGGGGGTTGGACTAGTTGTGGGGATGTTCACAGGTGGTATTGGGGGTGCTCGGATCTGGTATATGACAATTGGAAAGTTTTGTAGGCATTGCAGTCAGTTGTTCAGTGATTGTCAGCGCATGTTCTGCATGAATATCTGCTTGCACTACAATTGCAGGCGATGTGGCCATAGAGTTGACATTTGGCACATCGGATGGGTTCCTTCTTGTCTTTCTTGACCCAAATCAGGTATCAGTCAATGTAGATACCTTCCTTGATTAGTTTGTTGGCCGTCACTGTGTCATTTACTTGGAGTAGAGCAAAGGCCATCATCTGGGTGGGCAGGTGTTTGTGCAGTGCTTTGATCCAGCTAGTGATTGAAAGTCCGGTCTGGTCCGGTTTTTTACCATATTTGGATGCAACTGAACCACAACCGGTCTTTTTATTTCAAGAAATGAAAAAAAACTGGACTGGACCGCTAAAAACCAGTTGCAACTGGTCCTACTCACGACTGGTTGCACTAGGAATGTAGAGCTTGATCACCTGATAATTTCTATCTCTTATACATTCTAAGCTGATGAAAATTGAGTGAGTTATGAGCATTACTGTCATATCCTGTACCTCTGGTCCTGGAATTCTGGATTCTCCCCTATGAAAGTCTGGGTCTCCATCCTGTTCTCCATTCAGCACTCCATTTTCATCTCCGGACTCACACCTATCTCCTTTTAGAATACTGCTCTCCAGCTACTGGTTGTACACCTTTCCACCTTGCTTATTGATCCATTGTATACTTACTAATAGACTTTCGGTTAAGACCGTGCTCAGGGGTAAAGCCGAGTCTGAGGGGCTTGGCTTCAGCTTGTGCGCTGTGCCCCTTACCCGAGTACATGCCCCTAATTTCGGAATGTAGTCCAACATGAGTTCTATGAGTTCTGACAGGACGTCGGAATGGGGGTCCTCTGAAGGAGGACCGACAGACTACTAGGTGAGCGCAGGAAAGTTGGGTGGGGGTTGTTCCACCCGACAGGAGGGAGGCAGGAGACTGCTGTGGTCGGAACCAACAGTAGAAGCAGAGTGGAAGGGACTGCTTGGACGAAGTCCAAAGCAGAGTGGAACGGAGGGGACGGATGTGAGAGTGCGGGGTTTAGCTCTGATGCATGGGAAGTCGGACAAGCAGAGGAACAGGGGAACAGGGGATTGGGGGAACAGGGAAAATGGGGGAATGGGGGAATGGGGGAACAGGGAAACGGGGGGAACAGGGGAATGGAGGAGTGGAGGATCGGAGGGTAGCTGGCCTAGGGAGTCAATCCCCTAGGCCAGCTAACAGGAGTTGACTAGGATCAGGCCCAAGTCAAAGAACAGAAGAGCAGGGCTTAGAAAAGGTAATATTCAGACTGAGTATTTATAGACAAATGTACATATGTTTATATACTCTAAGTGGTGAGCATAGCATAGCAGAAGGCTATGTGCTGAGTGTACAGGATTACAATAGGGTGACTGAGACATACAAGAATAAGGCTTGGGGAACAGTATGTACGCGACAGATCAGAATCGCTAGGGTATAGGGATTACCGGTGATCCGAAAAGCAGAACTATGATACTAAACGGGGATAGGACCAGTTGAGTGGTTCCTAGTCTAGGAGTGGACCGGTGAGGCAGTCGGACGGACTAATAGTCGGGTGGGACAAGATGAGCAGAACTGAGCGGGTCGGAAAAGTGGAGCGAGTAGGAGTAGGATCAGGCAGACCGATAGGGCGGAGCAGTGGAACCCCAGATAGGGTCAGATGGAAGGGGTATGGTGTCGGAGAACATAGGGGTAGTGTCGGAAGAGTGGAACAGGGTTGGGCGGAGGTAGTGGGGCTAATCCTGCTGAGATGCACTTCGTGCATTGTTGGGGAAGGAGGAATGGAGTGGACAGGGAAACAGAGGGTCGGACTAGGGGTGGGTATATTCACAGGTGGTATTGGAGGTGCTCAGATCTGGTATATGACACTTTCCATATGCTTTGGGCATAGCTTTTACTTTGCTGACTGATTAGTTACATGATATCTACAGTATATAAACTCCTGTAAAACTCTGTACCTCCTCAGTTCAAATATCATCTTAGTTCCTGCTCATTCCTGTTTCTCCAGACTTGAGTCTGATCTCTTGTCCACCTCTGAGTCTTGGGTTTATTCCTTAAGACTATATCTCCAGCTCTACCTTACGGTAGTCTATCTCTGTTCTGGTTCTACTCTGGACCTTTCCAAAGTAGCCTTACTCCATTTACTCTATTTACTCCTAGCCTTCCGGAGTCCTGCTGAACTCCCCTTGTGTCTGACCTCCGGACTTACCCGGACTTCTGTCAGACTTCCCTTCTACCTCTTGGAAATTAAGGGCACATACTCGGGTAAGGGGCGCAGCGCACGAGCTGAAGCCAAGTTCTTTGAGTTACTCTTCCCTTGAGCACAACCTTAAAAATTACAAAATCATGCCCCCCAACCAACTCAGACCAAGGTCAGTAAAATATGAAACTTTCAAAAGTCATTTTTATGCTTGCAGTGTCAATAAAAGTTGTAGTACTAGTGCATAGTAGGTAATGGTAGGTCATATCATGTCATAATGTTACCATTTGGTTAAGATATAAGCCTTTTGATACATTCTTAAGTGAGTTATGTGGCATTTTCTTGTAATAATCATATCTCCCTCAGGTTTTTATCTGTTTGAGAGATATAAGAGACTGAAATTATCGCCCAATCAAGCTCTACATTCCCAGGGCAACCGGTTGTGCATAGGACCAGTTGCAACCGGCTTTTAGCAGTTCGGTCCATATTTTCCAACAGAGGCAACCGCAACCTGTGCCTGGTTGCAACCTGCCAAAAGTCCAGTCCAGTTGCAGTCTTTTTCAGGTTGCACAACTGAACTTTCAAACACTACATCCAGCACATGGAGACGAGTGAGTTGTCCTCCAATAAGTTCTTACCTTCTAGCAGTCAGAGGAGGCCTGGTTGTTCTATGAGCAGGTTGACAGGTACATACTGCACCACCAGAGTGTAGGTTTGGTCCTTGAGCGTTACTGAGAAGTTTAGTGCTTGGAGGAATTTCTTTTGGGTATGGTTGTCTTTTAGTCTGATTACTGTCTCTTCGCTGTCCAGTTCCACGATGAGTCCCCCGTTTTGTAGCTGTAACAGGGCTGTGATATTGTCTTCATGGTTGTTGGGTGAGGGTGGTTTGAATGGTGGTGTGGATCTTGCTTAGGGTATCTTCATGGCTGATATCAAGAGGGAAGACTAGGTTGCCGGGTATGGGGTCTAAGAGGATTTGTCTAGCGCGTAAGGTGGCCCTTGCTAGGGCTTCATCTATTGGGGGTATCTGATGGTGAGTTCTGCTGGCTGTGTTTGGGGGCAGGTGGGTTTGATGAGCAAAAACTTGGAAATTTGGTGGGCTGCTGCAGGAGGTGTGTAGCCTTATCATTGGGTCTATGGTATAGGCTGTTGTGATTTTGCTGAATAATGGCAGTTTTGAGGCAGTAGGTGGGGAGGGGTTGGGTTGAGTCAGGAGCTGCATTGAGAGTGAGTGGATATATTCCTGTGTCAATTCAAGCGAGGGGATGAGGAGGTTGATAGAGGTGTGACAGTCTTCAATGGCGCTATATATGTCTGTTGCATTTGTGATTTGGTCTGCTGCTGCATTGATGTCTCGGTCTAGGTCTACACGTTCGTCGATTTTCTGGCGTGTTTTGACAACTTCTTCCAGGGAGTGGGATAGCAAGTTGAATGTTGAGGAGAGTTGTTCTAGCTGTGGGGCCATGACGGCCATGATATGGTCTAAGATTTTGGGGGTAAGTTGGGATAATTGGGCAGAAGTTGCTTCGGCTGGGTTTGTTTCTGGCAGTAGGGGTTTGATTAGTTCTGTCTTCTGAATCATATTTTCCAGGTTTTTGGAGGTCATGAGTAGACGAGCTACTTGTGGAGCTATTGCTGCAATGACGTGATCGACTAGTTTCGTGGTGACTGATTCTGATACCTGTTGGGCTACCGACTGGGTAATTTTTTGAGCTGCTGCTACCTGAGATTTCATCTATTACATGTTGTTTGAGGAAGAATACAACTGATCTAATAGCTGTTAGTACTGGTAGAGGAGTGGAACTGGAAATTTGCATGATGTGTAAAATCGTATATGACCATTTCATTGATGCATTCAACAGTGAGCCCAGTCTAGAATCCAAGGCCTCCTATCTGGACGAGGCCATGGGGCAGGTTGTGTCTGAAGGGACCGCCATTCAGATGTCTGATCTTGTCGATGACAAAGAATAAACTGTTTCCTTGACCGCTGATCGAATAGATCAGGTCAACGAGATGCTTTGGCATATTCGCCAGCTCCACAGTGGTCCAACGCAAGCAAATCACCGAAACAGCAGCAGCAGAGGAAAAAGATGCAGAACTATGAGAAGAAGAACGAGTGCAAGCTCTTTAGAAAGGGGTTAGGGAAGGTGACTATTCCTACACTCACGGCTCCTAGTGCGTCTGCTTCAAGAACCACCCTCACCACCCCCTGCTGCTTCTACTGCTCAAGTGCCTGACCTAACCACTCCACTTGAGATGCCAATTGACTCACAGAATGACTTCCCCATTGATGAGGCAATGAACAACCAATTTGCTTAAGAAGGTTGAATGAGAAGAGAGAGAGAGAGAGCTGGGTTCTCTCTGGAGGGGTGTCATATACCTGATCCTGACCGCTCCAATATTAATATCCACTCCTGCTTTCTGACCACCTCCTCTCCATCCATCCTCCGCTCCATCCAATCACAGTCTGCATTCTGCTCCTATGCTTCCGCTCGACCGCCCAACCGGTCCCCTTCCATAATGTCTCCATTCAACTGGAACCGCTTTCCCCTTTTAGATATATACTTTCCCCTTCGGTACATAGACCCTTACTTCCGGATCACCGGTAATTCCTCTTACCGCCCTATCACTGATCCGATGTGTACATATTGATATCTGCTCTGACTTATGTCTTCGCCTGTGTAAGTACTTACAAATTATATCCTTGGTACATAGCTTTACAACATAGTTATCTTGATTACTGCCTCATACTTAGAAGTATATAACATATCCTGTACTTAGATATTTTCCCCAGTCTTAATATTACTTGTCTTCTTGCAGTTACTCCTTGTGAGAATTCTCAGTAGGACCTTGCCTCCTCTGGACACAAGTTTCATCTTGTTGTCACCTCCGACCCTCCGCTCTGACTTAGAGCTGTGCTCTAAGTCTTCTCCTTACTTCCCCGCCCCTATCAAGTATTCCCCCTGATCGCTTCTTAGTCTCACACTAAGTGGCACCCCAAAAAGACCCCAGAAACCCCTCCAGCACACTGTGCCCAACGGCATCAAAGCCGCCCAACAGTGACTCTAACCTTGAAATTCCCTCTTAGAAAAACAATCAAAACCCCCAAAAAACATCTACTAGATACATATTCTCTTACAGTCCTCAACTAATATGCCCCCAGCGAAATCCAGCAATGGATCAGGAAACGATCCACCTAGAACAAACTCCCCAACCCCAGGTGCCGGCCCCAACACCCGCAACACAACCAGAAGCCCCACTATGACTGCCAACATTGAATCAATGGCCAGTATAGTAATGGACACCACGAGCGCAGAATCCTACCTATCGGCCAAACTACTCTGCCAGGAAGACCAACCCTTTACACTCACTCACCTATCGTCCATACTCTTTCATATCACCCAAATGTCAGCCACTACCCCACTTCCAGTCAATATGGCGATCCGGGCAGTTGCGTTCATACTGAAGAAGCACACCGCATGTGAAATAGCGGAAGCTGTGGCCATACACCTCTCATCCACACTAGCCCCGCAATTAATTGACCAAGTAATCGCAAACATCAATCTGCAAACGGGAAACATACACGATGCCTCGGAGCACGTGAAGGCCTCCATCCAACAAACGGGAGAATCACTCGCTTCCACTATTGGAGATGCAGAATGCATGTGTCACATGCTTAAAAACGAACAAGAAGAAAAAGAGAATGACACGAAGGTCACAGCCAACCGCATTGATGAGGCTGCAAACGAACTTCAGGCATCGGTCAAAGAATGTCAGAAAATGTTAAAGGCACTATCCCCATCCCTAGACTCTACACAAGAGTGAATCAACCTCTTATCGACGCAACTTTTGACTCACCCTGCCCCACCCCAAACTCTCCCACCACAGACTCTCTCACAACCTTCCATGCAACCATCTTACAGTATGATCACGGCCTCCCACCTCCCCCCGTCAGTTGACCAAGCAATTGGTTGAGCAGCAATACACGCATTCAAAATCTTGCTGGACCCTCGTCCAGGTGAAACCCTCTTCCCACCTAACACATCCAACTCTGACATCGCAAAGAAATTGAAAGATGCCTTATCCAACATCCGCAATGACTCCACCCCCCTCAGCAATATCAAGGCAGTCCACTCCCTTTGTAACGGAGGAATCCTTGTTGAACTCGAAAGTGAAAGTCTAGCCTCATGGCTACAAGACTCTATCGGCAGAGCTCTGTTAGAAGAACAATTTGACACCACAGTATTGTTCTGTAAATACACCTTCGCTCTTGTACTCTTGTACTTACCTATTCAAATGCAGATCGAACATGAAGGATTCCTACGCAAGATCAAGAACAAAAACAACCTACCTGCCAACTCCTTAGCCACTATCAGATGGATTAAACCCCCCCTTCACCGAACCCAGGAACAGCGAAAAGCCTTTGCCATTCTCCAGGTCATTGAGGCACCTATTGCCAATGATATACTGTGAGATGGCATTTGCATCGAGAATGAAAGATTCGGAGTATGTAAGGACAAGAGGGAACCGATTCATTGCGCAAAATGCCAATGCTATGGTCACATCGCCTGCAACTGCTCTGCCCTGCTTGATGTATGTGGCACCTGCAGCGGGAAACATCGATCCACTCAATGCACCATGTACCACACCACCCATTGCATCAACTGCAATAGCCCAACTCACACGAGCTGGAGCAGGAAATGCCCAGACTTCATCTGCAGATGCGAACCACTGGATGAGAAATACCCTGAGAACAGGATGCCCTATTTCCCTATGGAATCAGCGTGGACCCACGCCATTCAACCGCCTTCCGCCCCCCCAATATCAACCTCACCTCGCCCCTGCCCCCAACGCCTAGTAAACGCCAACCTCCGCCAAGCCACCATCAACTTCCCACATCGCCCTACCCCTTCCCAAAACCATCCCAGTCCCGAACCTCATTACGACTTCCAGGCTCAATCGGCAGTGCTCCTGAACGAAATATACCCCCCTTTGTACTTTGGAAATGGAGACTCGCCTGATACCGCAGAACCCTCCTCCTCCTCCTCCTCCTCCTCCTCTTCCACCTCTGCTGCCCTCGTTTCTTTTGACTCTCCCGATAGTCTACCCCCATCCTTCACCCCCATTGCCAATGTCTGAACAAACTGACGACAATACCATAAGACTCCGCATCTGGCAGCAAAATCTTAACAACTCTCCGACGGCCCAAGCCTCACTCCTTAATGACCCCAACATCGCAGAATGGGATGTTATAGCTATACAGGAGCCTCACATCAACTTCCTGCTGCAATACCAGCGCGAACCATCACTGGCACATTCTTTATCCAACACTACACTACACCCAACCTCAGAGCAAGACCCGAGCTATCACATTAATCAGTGCCTTGCTAGATACCAATTCCTGGAAGCAAATATTATTCCAGTCCTCGGACGTCATAATCATCCAACTCTCAGGCCCCTATGGATGCTGTACCATATTTAATATCTATAACGATGGCAATTCACCCATTACTCTAACTGCAATCGACTCCTTTCTAGCGTCCAACCTCGCCTCCATCAAGTCCGCCGACAATGACCATATGTTATGGCTCAGAGACTTCAACCGACACCACCCTCTCTGGGAAGAGACCTGTAATAGCCACATTTTCAATTATCCTGCCACTCATCCGTTAATAGACCTCATTGCTGATTATGGAATGTTACAGTTACTACCATGTGGGATGCCGAACCCTTCAATCCACCAGTACTGGCAATTGGACCCGCCCCAATAATGTCTTCAGGCATGGAGCAGCTTCTAGATGCACTCATCTCCTGTGATATGGACCCCTCTCGAAGCGGCCCCAAGACAGACCATGTCCCCATTTTAACTGTCCTAGAGCTCGACACCCCACACATCAAGGTGGAACCAAGGCAGAATTGGCGCAAAGTGAACTGGGAAGCTTTCAAAAAATGCCTTGATGGCCTCATCACTACATGACCGGCTCAACCTCTGGCATCTAAGGACAAATTTCAAGATGCAGCTCTGCATCTGACCTGCTCCATAACCAGCGCCATCGAAAGCTGTGTCCCCTTCTCAAATCCGTGTCCTCACTCTAAGCGCTGGTGGACCTGACGCCTCACTGTACTCCGGAACTGCGTTACAGAGCTCAGCCAGCTCTCCTACCTAATGAGGGGTCTCCTGTCATGAAGAACATAAGATCGCCAAGAATCACTACGTGGAAGAGATCACCACCACCAAGGAACAACACTGGATAGAATGGCTCGAGGATATTGAAGGCAACAACATTTGGATGGCAAACCACTACATCTCCTCTGAGCCTCGTGACAGAGGAAAAACGCGAGTTCCAACCCTCACCTCTACTAGACCAGATGGGACTATCGTTGAAGCCTTCACCAATGACGATAAGAGTCTTCTAATAGCTAAGTCCTTCTTTCCTCCCCCCCTTGTTGCTGATTCTGTTCCCTTAGATGCCGTCTACCCTGACCCGGTAGAACAGCTCCCTCCCATCAATCCGGAACAAATCTCTTGCACCATCACTCGACTCAGCAGATATAAGGCCCCAGGCCCTGGACGGTATTTGCAACATAGTATTCAAAGAATGCGCCAGCACCCTGATCCCCTACTTGACTGCACCTGAGTGACACCTATTCCCACACTTGTTAGTAACATACATAGTATAACATATTTGTTACTAACGAGGGGGGCAAACCTACACTGCAGTACTTCAGCGATAGCTGCAACAATCAGCAGTGACTTCAGGAATATTAAGAGGGCGGGTAAATAACATATATATAATATAAATAACATATCAGGCTATTGATTTGTCATCTCCCCGGATATCTCCCTTACAACACTGCTGCTACGCCTTCTGATGGTTCCCACGCCCCTCTCTTTCCATCTCCACATCGTCCTTGACGACGTGCTCACTATCCCGCTCATCCCTCTCCCAACTCTAGCCGATCTTTTGGTTTTCGGGATCCTATGGACCATCGCTCGCTCTCTCAATGGACGCGATGACATTCTCATGCCGCTCCTTTTGATTGCTCCAACCTCGTGTTGATCGGTCTTTGCCGGCGCTTGCTTTTACTCTTCATGCGACATGTCCCTTGCTCAGGTTCTACACTACCACCATCATGGTTCCCCCGAGAAAACGGATGTCAACATCGTCGAGAGTTACCATGACTCTTCTCAGTAGTTCCATGGATCTTTGTACTTCCAGATCATCGCTCTCTCAAATACGAGAGTCGCAGCTTCGCAGGGAGTGAGAACAGCGCCAGATTCGAGGTATGTCACTTATTCTCATGATGGTCTCTTGCTCACTTTCATCAGACAATTCTAGACGCATGCAGGAGCTGCTCGCTGAAGCTGAGTTGGAGGCTGGGCAAGATTCCTTGGAGACCATGGACTTTGGAGGCGAGATTGTTGATGATAGCATAAATGAGTTCGCTGAGGACGAGCCTGTGGGTGGTCCGCTTTTGTCTGAATTTTTCAAGACATGCTCTCAAGAACGGTAAGCATTTTCCCCCCTCTACATAGGTATCTAACATTTATCTCTAGGGAACCTCCTATACGTGGGCGCATTGATGTGCGGACCCGAACAAAACGTCGCCAGCATGCCAATGCCGCTTGGAAGGAGCAGATGCCCACCCTTGTTGATGGCTACTTGGCATGGAGACATGAAGCGCCAACTGATGAAGACAATACCATTGCGTCTAACATGTTTCACGTTGATGTTGTTGGAATTTCCGGTAAGGTTTCATTCCTTCAATACATGGCCCTTACTTACACTCAACCACATTCAAAGGTTTTGCACGTGCCATCACCATCCAGCAGCGTCCTAATGAACCAGCGAATGCAGCCCTCCTTCGCATGGGACTTTTGGGGTGCTCCCCACTACGGCCGACTATCGCTATTCGCATCGAATGCCTCGAACTATATCACCAAATACGACGACGTCAATCTTCATTTAGTATCCAAGCGATCACGAAGGTTTTGTGCGCACTTCATGATGTAAGTGTTGTAGCGTGTTATGTATGATGTCGTACTCACTTACTATACAGATTACATATTTTCGACAGTTTCGCAATCAATTTTCTGATGCGTTCGATATCTATCTACAAATCTTGCAGGAAATTCGGAGTCGCGTTGACCGGATCTTGGGCAGAGATCCCAATACCTGGCAGATCAATGGTTCTTGTCCTTCCTGTACATTCAAGGTAACGCTCCATTCTCAAATATGTAGATATAATTAAATCAATTTTACAGCAACCTAATGAGTCATTATTGTCACCAGCACGTCTTCACGCGATGGACGGCAATTTCTCAGCCAAGCGATTGGACGGGTCAGGATTAGCTGATCCGCGCCTATTTCAGAGCCGGTATTTTATTTCCGAGGCCGAGGTAGACCAATTCAAGGATGACGTTCGGTGTCGAACCGGTGAATCCTCCACGGTAGAATCAACGATATCGAGCACTTGCACAGAGAACTGGACTGCAGCCAAGGCTGTGGACAATGATAAAATTACTGTGTTTGACCAGACAGGGATTTTTCTTTTAGCGTGTCGTCATGGGCTCATCGAAAGTGTAACTGAAATGAAACACAGCGGTGAACTGTACGTGTTTTAACTCTCGTTTGTACTACGCTAATCATCCAACAGCGCAAAATATGGTCTGGCCACAGTCAACAGACTGCTCGACGTCTGCGGCGCGGATCAGGCTATCGGACACGATATTGCATGCTCATCTTGCAAAACAATCGCGACAAGTTCTATTGGAGTCAAGGCAGCTGGACTAAATCTACAGGTTGTTGTAAACGCCTTCCACAGCTTTTCTCATGACCGCCGCTGTCAGCTTCAGAATCACCCTTTGTATCTCAATGGTCTAGGACTTGAAGATCTCGAGACTTGTGAACGCATCTTCGCTAGTTCAAACAGTGCTGCAATTTTGATCCGACATGCATCATACTTCCATTGGATGCAGTTCCTCGACCTCCACTTTGATCAGTGGGACATGGACCGGTACTCAGACCTTGGTATGTCTTTTTGAGCGCCCAACAGCAATTTTTTTCTGACTATTTCAGGCGCATTTCTTTACAACAACTATGTTCAAGCTCTTCAGATCATTGAGACCAACACACCCGTCCTCGAGGAATTCAAGCAGCTCCATGATCTTACGGATGCAGACTTCGTAAACTGGCGAAATGAGGAGTTTGAGTATCTCAGCAAGGTTGCTACGGAACCTACTTCGGATGCAATTGTAGTGGCTTATGTTGAACAGCTTGAGAAGCTTCAATATGCGGAGTTCGTCTTTGTGCCCTGTTTACTTGTGTAGTTCTCATTGCATGTTTTAGAGAAACATATGGCCGTCTTACTTCCGTGCCCTTTCTGACGTACACTCCCACAAATTTCACTCGCACATCTGGCCTCAATGCCACCGCTCGCAACAATTCCGGAGCATTCGAATCTGAGCATGCATCTGCGCTATGCAAATATGAGCTGCAATTGAATGTTGTCGAAGATTTCAAGCATTGTCACAGCATTACGGAGCAGTGGCTACCGCATGACCCAAAATACACCCAAGCAGTCAGATATTCTCAGGAACGTCAATTCATTCATGCGGTTGAGGAATTGGAGGGCTTAGTTGTTCGGCGTCTTTTTGAGTTATCAAAGGCTAATCTTGCCGGCACTGGTAGGTGCTTATTGGACATTCAGATAAGTGATGTACTCATGGACTACCATAGGCTACAAGATGAGAAAGTATATCTCAAAGGCCATCACACGATGTTCGGCTGCCATCCGAACGGCTTTGGAGAAGTACAATAGACTCGCACCCTTACAAAATCCACCACGTCCTGTGCTCGACTATACTGAAATCGTCGGTTACGCATCCCTCGGTGAATTTTCGGTTCTGAAACACTCACGCCACGATATCCTTACAAAACCATGGACTGTGTCTGCTAATCGCGAGATGGCCGTGAGGTATTTCAAATTGGTGCGATCACACGAAGAGATTGTACAGCTCAACGTCGAGATCAAACACTTACATTGTTGGGTTGAGCACGAGGACAGGACCACGTTGGAAGCTATTGATTCACTCCTCACTGATGACCCAGATTCTCCATTCATAGCTGAGTTGAAGACATTGTATGCCAAGCACCACCGTGTCAACAACAACCATCGCAAGCGACTCCAACAAATTTACGCACTCGACAGATACACAGGTGATCGTCTTCCTACAGACCAGACAGTGACTGCATCCAATGGAGACAGAGATGACGAGGGTAGCGTGAATGGTCCTGAAGATGATGCTATGAACGAGGAGGCCATGAGACTTGAAGATTTAGTATCGCATTCTTTGTAACTTTCATACTGTTAATTCTATGTCACATTGCTTCGATTCTCTTGCGCCCTCTGTGGCATCTCTCGTCTATTCGTTTTCCCCTGTCACTTCTCTTGCGCCCTCTGTGGCATCTCTTGTATATTTGCTTGTGACCCTTTTACTAGTAGTAGCACATTTAATTGAGCCCTGTTTGATCGGTGGGCATGATACAATATCTCAACCATCCATGTTGGCATTGCAAACTATGTCATTGAAAACTAAAGCTTAGGAAGTTGAGCTCTGCGCTGACCCTTTAAAATAGCACATTCAATTGAGCTCTCAGTGTTTGCAAACCCTACTCGATACTGTTCATTATGACTAATTTAATTCTTGCTGCCATTATCAAATGCCTCGTACCGAACAAACAGACTCGATAATCTTACTTCTTGACTGTGCTCACTTCACTGTTGTTTTACTCAATGTTGTCTATGTCACCTCACTTGTTCCCTGTTGAGCTGGATCCTGTCCCTAATCGTCTAGAGTATCTTGATTTGCAAGGGGAAATTGTAAGTTTATCATTTAAATGATTCGAGCTACTGTTGAATCTGTTTTTCAAGAAAGATCACTTCGAAATAAAACTATCAGTAGCATTCGAGTTCTTAAAGAAACCAGGACACTTTTGCGCATCCCCTCAGATCGTTACCGCTGTTGCATCTTCTTGTCCCCTCGAGACTGAGGCTGAGGTGGCCACAGCGACAATCATGCATGATATTTTGCTGAATCGGCTCGCGCCACTCGTCTGTCAGCGCTGGTTCTGCTGGAATGAGGTCAAACTACCTAAAAGCATGGTTGAGAGTATGTATGATTCACTTGCGGCTTTGATAAGTTTGTTTTAACAGTTGTGCAGCAGGAATAGCAGCATTGGACCAAGATTCTAGCACGTCCTCTGAACATGTCCAACCAGATGGTTTCTTATTTCCAAATCCCTCAGACTCATCCAATGGTCGCCATGCTCATCAGACTCCTGACGACAGTATCACATCTTTCACATCTGAGTCATTTGACTTCCTGACTTCGTGGTCTAACACCAACCATTCGAGTGACTCGACTTTCCCTACGTTTGGCAGCCCAGATTTCACTTCTACGCCATTCCCTCGACCATCTGCACTTCCTGTGTCCAAGGGCCATGATCTCGCTGAAGCAAGCAGAGTCACAAAGCGGTGCCCTAAGCATGTCACACAGCCGAATGATGCTGGTTATCATGTCCGTATACTACCAGGCAGCGCGAGTCCCCTCACAATACCATCACGCGCTTTCGTCTTAGCAGCCCAGCTACTACCTAATACCAGTGCTGCTGTAGAACATGCTGCTCGTATGACAGAAGATCGCATTCTTTCGGGTGGTCTGAGCCCCCCATCACGACCTTTCATATTAGCGAAGCACACGTCCCCTGCCGTAAAGAAACTAACGGCTCAACCAACTTCTTCTGATGCGAAGGAATCACGCAAATGTCACAATGTGGGAGTTCTGACCCTGAGAAATGTCCTGACAACTAACGGATTCTGACAGGGAAAAAAAAAACAGCTGGTCGGCAATGAGGCGGGAAATGCAGTGCAAATGAAAACCATGTTGCGTGGCGACAAGGACGGAGTTTCAGTCACTAACCACATTTACCTCATGACATCTGATCCAGGTCCCGTTCAGTCGACTCGCGATGCAGGTTATGACCGTATCTGTGGTGAAATCGACAGTGCACTTCTTGGCCTTTCCCTTCACCACAGTACTAAGGACGAGATCTGGCGCTGCATCCAGCAGGTTGAAGGATACCAAGTAAGCAGTTGGAAGGCCATACTTGTGAAGCTTGATATCCCAGAAAAACACCATCACAACATGCTTCAAATTATGGCTAGTGCAAGTTGTGACCATAAACTTAGTGAGTTCTGCCCGTTTGGACTCTGTTTCAACCTGACTAACCTTCAATCTAGTCTGGACTTAGTTGTTTCGCTTCACTCCATTCTCGCATATGATGGACCACTCATATTGCTTCATTCACAATATCTCGGTTCACTTCATGTATTTGTCCTTGTCCCTGAACTTGAAATGTATAAAACTTTACTGCCATTCACTCCTTGACTTCAATGGTTCCTCGTCCGACTCCTAAAATTCATCGAGTGCGTGCACAACTGACGGCGACCCAAAAGGCTCAACAGCGTGCTCGTCGCAAAGCACTCGCTGATGATATTGACACTGCCAAGGAGTCGTACGAAGCAGAGGCTGCTGACATAGCACAAAAACATGGCCAGCGAGTCTGCATCATAAATATCTTATTGCTGATATATATTAATTGTCTTGTAGATCAGTGAAGTGGACCAGAAATCAACTGTTTCTTCGCAGTCGCATGCTGCAGAAGACCAGAGGTGTTAACTCCTGGAACGCATTTGTCAAAGCCCGACTCAAGGATGAAAATGAAGGTCAGTGTAATAATTTAATTTGCGAAGTAACACTGGTGCTCACGAATCTTTCGTTAGGCTTAGGCAGAGGCGATTGCACAAAACTTACAGCCTTCATCGCAGAAAACAAGGCCACATTACTCCGAGATTATTGCAAGCTAACCTTTGCTGAAAAGCAAGCTTACAATGCCTGTGTTCTCGAGGATCGCCAAGAAAAGAACCGTACTGCACGTTCAAACCCAAAGGCCATCAAACATGATGTGAATGCAGCATTCACATCCATGGATCATGAGGTATGTCGCAGTATCTTGCGCCCTCTGTGGCATCTCTCGTCTATTCGTTTGCCCTCTGTGGCATCTCTCGTCTATTCGTTTGTCCCTGTCACTTCTCTTGTGCCCTCTGTGGCATCTCTCGTCTATTCATTTGCCCTCCATGGCATCTCTCATCTATTCATTTGCCCTCGTGGCATCTCTCGTCTATTCGTTTGCCCTTGTGGCATCTCTCTATTTGTTTGCCCTCCATGGCATCTCTCATCTATTCATTTGCCCTCGTGGCATCTCTCATCTATTTGTTTGCCCTCTGCGGCATCTCTCATCTATTTGTTTGCCCTCCATGGCATCTCTCGTCTATTCATTTGCCCTCGTGGCATCTCTCGTCTATTCGTTTGCCCTCCATGGCATCTCTCATCTATTCATTTGCCCTCTGTCTACTCATTTGTCTCCACCGTCTCTGGCACATCTTCATTTATCTATTTACCGTCCAAGACACCACCACTAATACAACTGAAATTTATCCTCAGTGGATGGGTCTCCATGCATGCACTGGTCTGGAGGGGTTTTATGTGGCAGTACGCGGCGGAATTGAAGATCTTGCAGAACTGAAGATTTTTTTTACAGAGAAATCTCAAAAATTTGTTCGGGACGTGCTAGGCATTGAGCCACAGCATCTCGGACTGAAGCTGGAAGCATTCGTGATTAGCAAGCTTGGTATGTTATCTTTGTCCTCATCTTGTAGCCTACTGATTGTCTCAAAGATGAACATGTAACACTTAACCGTCAATGGCCGCTCAACAAACTTATTAGTGAATGCCGTGAACTTATCCAAGATAACCTTGGTATGTGCTTCATGGTGTCCCCTTGTGCCGTCACTAACATAATTCATCAAAGAATTTATCTTAATGGAAAAGAACGTGTCAGGCAAAGTCAAAATGAATTATACAAACTACGAGCGCGCCATAGTAGAACGTCATGGTGTCGAGCTAACTAAGTGGCCCTTGCCGGGGGGGGTGAAAAATCCCTCGAAGGCTGGTGGAAGAGCGCAGGTTCAGGTTTTGTTAAATGCTCTCAAGTCTGATTTGTGCAAGTGGGTGTCTCTCTCAGACGAGGAGCTTGTCAAGAGGATGAAGGATAACTGGGATCGGCATGCACGTGGGGAACAAGTTTACGTGCAAAGGAAAGCCAGGGCTCGCATTTCACAACCCAAGAGTAAAGCCACTGTCAACACTGATGACGAGTTGAGCTCAAGCTCAAGCTCAGACTTGGATTCGGATTTGGACTAGTACTATGCACCTTCTAGACACATTGATAGGACAGTAATGATAACACTGAGTGCAATAATCATCAGGGTCAAGCTCGTTTGATTGAAAAAAAGGTTCACGTCACATTAGGAAGAACATGATCGTGGTAGCGCGGTGATCATGGTAGCATGGTGATCATGGTAGCGTGGTGATCGTGGTAGCGCGGTGATCATGGTAGCGCGGGACTTGGGCAAGGACACGTCGCATGGAGAGTAAAAGCAAACACCGGCAAAGACTGATCAACACGAGGTTGGAGCAATCAAAAGGAGCGGGTAGAGCTGGGCCAGGAATGACTGCGGTAGCGAGCACATTGTTGAGGACGATGCAGGGCGTGAAAGAGAGAGACGTTGGAGGCGTTAGAGGCGTCAGGAGGCATAAGGACAGCAACATACCTTGTAGCTCCTGGCAAGAGATTATACAGGGCAACGAGAGAAGGAAAAGAGTGTCATAGAATGCAAGGGTGTCGACAAGCTAAAACCAAAAGAACAGCTAGAGTTGGGAGAGGAATGAGTGGGATAGCGAGCACGTCGTCAAGGATGATGTGGAGATGGAAAGAGAGGGGCGTGGGAACCATCAGAAGGCGTAGCAGCAGTGTTGTAAGGGAGATATCCGGGGAGATGACAAATCAATAGCCTGATATGTTATTTATATAATGTATGTTATTTATATTATATATATGTTATTTACCCGCCCTCTTAATATTCCTGAAGTCACTGCTGATTGTTGCAGCTATCGCTGAAGTACTGCAGCGTAGGTTTGCCCCCCTCGTTAGTAACAAATATGTTATACTATGTACGTTACTAACAAGTGTGGGAATAGGTGTCACTCAGGTGACTTGACGCACCTTTTCAATGCGGTCTTCTCTCATCATGTCTATTACCAGCCATGGTGTTGTTTTCCTACAGTTGTCCTTCAAAAGCCGGGAAAGCCCAACTACTCAATCCCGAAAGCCTTCCGTCCAATTGCCCTACTCAACACCATCGGCAAGCTTCTCACGGCTGTTGTAGCAGAACAATTGACTTACATATTGGAACACCATTGACTCCTCCCAAACACACACTTTGGTGGACGCCCAGGAAGGTCCACAACAGACTCCCTCCATCTTTTGGAGGAAACCGTTAAAAATGCATGGAGGTCACACAAAGTAGTATCGGTGCTGTTCCTGGACATAGAGGGCGCCTTCCCCAATGCTGTCACAAAAAGACTACTCCATAATATGTGCATGAGGTGCATCCCAGGTGATCTCATTCATTTCACAGAACAGGTACTCACAAACCAACAAACACAGCTCAAATTTGACAGATTTGTATCGGATTGGTTCCCGGTTACCAATGGTATCGGACAGGGAGATCCATTATCAATGATCCTGTATATCATCTATAGTTTGGGGCTGGTAGACATAGCGGAACCCCGGAGGGGACGAGAATCACTCAAAGAGCTAACTCTCGCCTTTGTGGATGACACTGCCTTCATTGCTGTAGCAAAGGACTTCACCAAAGCCCATTGTACATTAGCAGACATGTTAGAACGTCTGGGCAGGGGCTATGAATGGTCATGAGATCATAACTCTCAGTTTGAGACTAATAAGTTTGCATTAATGGACTTCTCGATGAATCAACATAAAGAGCGCCCCCTTATGCACCTTCAGGGATCCGTTATTCAGCTGACACCAACCCATTGTTTTCTGGGCATAATATTAGATCAGGAACTGTGGTGGAAAGCTCAAGTAGATAATGCTGTCGCCTGGGGAACAACCTATGTATTCCAGCTACATTGTCTCTCCTCTGTTTCCAAGGGCATACCACTTCGTTTAATGCACCAACTATATCAGGCTGTCACCATACCGAAAATGCTCTATGCAGCCAATCTTTGGTTTTCACTGACACACCGCGAGGGAACAGACAAACTCCAACAAGGCTCATTCGGCATCGCCAAGAAGCTCTCCTCCGTTCAATGTATCGCAGCCATCGCTATAACGGGAGCCATGAAAACCACAGCAACGGACATACTTGAAGTTCACACCAACCTCCTACTCACCAACCTCCTACTCACCACCCTTCTCCTCCAGAACACGTGCTACCGAGCTATCATTTGCCTCGCCACTCACCCAAAGACCCATCCCCTCTATGATCCCCTGCAATGAGCCGCAAGGACCTATGTCACCTCACATCGGTCGTCCCTACACAGACTCACTCACTGCTTCTCCATCACCCCTGACGACGTCGAAACACTCATCCCATCGCGTTGTTCCCCTTCTTCCTTGAACCCTTGGACCACACACATAGCCAACTCCAAAGCAGATGCCATCACCGAACACGAACAACTAGAAGATAATATCCAGATTTACAGCGACAGTTCAGGATATAAAGGAAAGATTGGAGCCACTGCAGTGCTCTTCCGTGTGGGAAGACCCCCTAGAACACTGAGATTTCACCTGGGAACAGACAAAGAACACATGGTGTTTGAAGCGGAAGAGGTCGGGTTAACGCTGGCACTTCCCCATGTCCATCTCAATAGACAACCAAGCCTCAATACAAGCGGGTGAGAGCTTCTATTCATGACCAGGCTCCTATCTGGCAGATCGCTTTCGCAGGATGATGGGAAACATTGCCAAGATCCATGATGATTTCGCAGTGACTGTTCAATGGGTACCAGGCCACTCAGACGTTAATGGCAATGAAGAAGCAGACAAACAGGCGAAGTTAGCAGTGGAAAGCAGATGGAACAATAGCCCCTCGGCTAAACTGCCCAAATTCCTCCATCATGACACCCTCCCACTCAGCATCTCAGCACTCAAAGAAGTACACCACAAGGAAATGCACAATTGATGGGAACAACTTTGGCGTAAATCGCCGAGATTCAACTGCATGCATCAACTCGACCCCAAGCTTATTCATCGCTCTTTTGTCAAGCTCACGGCAGAATTCCCCAAGCGACTCACCGGACTGTACATGGCCCTCTGCACAGGACACACACCGCTCAACAAGCATCTTCATCGCATCGGCAAGATCGAAAGCCTGTGCTGCCCACACTGTCCAAATATCGACGAGACTGTACATCACCTCTTGATCACTTGTCCGCAATACCGACACGAACGCCACCTTCTGACCTGCACCCTAGGACGTAGAGCCACGTCTATACCATATCTCCTCTCCGACCCAGAAGCCACCCCACATCTCATCTGATTCGTCAATGCTACAGGGAGAATGAAAGCCACCTTCGGTGAAGTACTTCTACCTCACACAACCACAGACAGATAATCACTTGCTCCCGTTAACGACAGATCATTAGGATACTATGCACTGTGATACCAGATGCCTAGTGCTGTCATCCCCTACTTCGCTGCCTCCCCCCATCACCTCACCTCTCCCTCACCCACTCGTCCACACAGAATCACCATCACTACCTTGGATTCAGTCAGTGAATCTGAAGAATCCTCTCATCAACCACAAGACCCTTCCCATATTACATTCACTGCATTCAAACCGATTCCTGTACCAAGCCTACCTAGTAGGCCAAGTACGTATTCCACAGTATATCTGATAGTTGTGTACAATCTACGCACCAAAGTTTGAAGTCATCTCACCTCTAATGAATTGCGCGCCTAAAACGGCCGGCAGTGTGGGTACAACAATTCTGCTGGGTGCAGAAAGTGTTGGGTCTTGCTGCCTGCTGCTATACCTGCAAGGAGGTGCATTCGACCCTAGAGGGTTTCTGGACTAGAGCTAGGTAGTGCTCAGAGAGAAAAGTGAATCAAGAGAGCACTGCTCATGGTGGTGGCTCAAGAAGATTGATTGTTTACATAAGCAGTAAAAATGCGTACATAAACTAAGGAAAGTAATAGCAAGTGAAACTAAGTAAAAACCATTAATACAAGCCCAGAGTAACATGACTCCCTACAGCAGGAATGGTGGACTGATGGGGCACGTCCCACATCAGGGCATTCACAGATTCAGAGATGCAACCAGGGCACTGGGGGCCCTTAGACTAGACTAGACAGTACTGTCCTCCATAGAGTAAACTCTCAATAGGACATAAATTGGAATCAAAAAAAGAAAAAAAAAAAAGTATTCCCCCTGCTCCTTTCCGCCCTCTGCACTATCCTCCGCCTTCCCCGCTCCAATCAAGTATTCCCCCTGCTCCTTTCCACCCTCCACATTATCCTCTGCATCTTCTGCTCTGCTCCTAGTCGGCCTGCCACTAGTAGCACTTACCTCTCAATCCTCAAAGTGGACCTAAGCGGACCACTCATCCTATTGTCGGACAACATTGGACCCGCTCCAAATTCAGGGCACATACTCAGCTAAGGGCACAGCACAAGAGCTGAAGCCAAGCCCCGACCCCTCCACTTCTTGAGCTGGCACAGTACCTAACAAGGGGGAGATGTAACAACTGCGCTTAACTGCACGTACCACATCCCTTTGATTTGTTTGTCTTTCTTTTGACCTTTAACTTTACCCCTCAAATATGCGCTTATATTCAATATCTGTCTGTCATTGTGATACTGATATATGTCTCTTATTTATTCAATCTGAGTAAATTAGCTACTCCTTATCTCATTAGATTACTCCCTGTTTATCCCGAGTCTCATATAGCCCTAGCTGCACTTACTTATATATGAGTTGGAGTACTACATCAGCAAACATTGATTTCGCAACAATTCCCACACACTTGACAAGTCCGCACAAGTCCGCACAAGGATCACAGGTCCCACAGACATCATAAACAAATGACCACAAGCAAGTGCAAGCCCACAAGCTCACACACTGTACAAGCGACACAAGCCGTTACACTCTGTAGCACTTGTAAATGACATATATCACACTAGCGAGTTTATATACATATATGCGCAGTGAGGAGAACGGACTATTTACTATTCTACAAGGTCTTATTTTCATTTTTATTAATAACAGTGGTACAGTAGAAATGCTCATAATGCATAATTTTAAAAAATCAAAACAAATCCCTAGAAAATCATTCTTGGCACCACCAAACTATCCATTACCAACAATAAATGGACCAGGCCCATCGCTATCCATGGATTGCTTTTTGTGCCAAAAGTCATTGTGTTCTAATTTGTTATGAATCATTATGCATTATGCATTATGAGCATTTCTACTGTACTATGAAACAAAAATGTACTTACTACTCAGTGTCATGCTCAAATAGTAAACATTGTGATACTGTTTTTCCTCCAGCGCTCTGAGTGCATGCGTCTGACATTGAGGTCAGCCAATAATAGACGCTGATTTGCAGCTTCTGCCTGGCGGTAGGAGATATGGATAAGTATTTGATGGTGCTCCAAAAGGCAGTCGGCCAGGTGTTTTTGAGCTTGACACACTTTGCATTTGGCCTGGGCTGCCTCGAGTGCGAGGTTGGAGTCTTCTTCTTCTGCTGGCTGATCAAACAAGTAGCTGGACTTGGCTGAGCCTCGTTCCTGCAGATGGTGGGATATGAGTAACAAAGCAACACATAAGCAGGTGCAACTCACAAAATGCATTGGTATAGGTAAGCTCTCGTCATCATCATCTTCCTCCTCCTTGACAGGGTGCGATTGCGGAGAATGTGTAGGGCACGGATGTCCTTTATCAGGCCAACTTTCAAGGGATGATGAGGCTCGAGGAGTTGAGGGAGGACAATAGTTAGTTTTAGGAGAGGAACAAGTAAATATCTCAGAATGAGAGAACATATGGATGTACATGTGCCTAGACTGAATGATAGAAGTGTGGGAACGTAAGTGCACGCATCATCAATGCCAACACCTACCTGTCCAAAGTGCAGGAAAGTTTTCACCAAGGACTCCAGTGTCACTCACCATCTAAGTCAGCCTCGGACATCTTGTCACAGTTCCATTCGTGACATCGTTGACATCTTGGAATTCATGGACATAGTTCCACCACGGCGATCCCTCAATCCGCCTCAGAATTTGGATATCAGTGTTGATATGGGTCAGGGATTTGGTGTTGGGGGTGACTCACAATTCGATGCTCAGGCCGAGGATTCCATGGATACCAACTTAGATGGAAGCCTCACAGGAAATTTACCTCCAACTAATGAGGAATGGTATGAGGGTGCAGCCAGGTGCTATTCTCAGGAAGGCATCACATTTCTGGATCTTTTTGACACCGACAAGCATGCAGAATACAGGAAGGAGAACCTGTTTTATCCATTCACATCAAGGGAAGAATGGGAGGTCGCTGACTTCCTCCTGTGTTCTGCCCTTGGCATGGCAGCAATCAATACCTTTTTGCAGCTCTCTATGGTATGTATCTTCCTTGTTGCTTTCATGCTTTGATCATGACATTACCTTGCAGATAAAACAATTACAACTGTCATTCAACAACGCCAAAGATTTGTGAAGCCGAGCTGAAATACTGCCAAAGGGACTGAGCTGGAAATGCCAACACATTCCATCGCTTCATGGCACAAAAAGCCCAATTCGACTATTTTGGAGGGACCCGGTCGAGTGTTTGGAGAGTCTTTTCAGTAATCCCCTCTTTCATGACCAACTTGACTTCATCCCTCGTCGCATTTACAAGACTGCGGCACAGCTCCTGCATGTGTATTCGAAATGGTTGACAGGTGATGCTGCTTGGAGCATCCAGGTACGTACTGTTTATGGACTCATGATGTGCACCATCTCACAAGACTGTAGGATCAACTGCCCCAAGGCGCAACAATCCTTGGCACCGTGCTTTCGTCTGACAAGACCAATGTCACAACAATGACAGGTGCCAGGGTCACACACCCGCTTCTGCTAGGCCTTGCCAACATTTGCATGTGCACTCGTACAAAGCTCTCATCCAAGGTGTTCATGCTCACGGCTCTCCTCCCTATCCTGCAGTACCTACACCCCAATCAACGAATGTGGGGGATGCTTGAAGATCGTCTCATCCACAAATGTCTTTTGATCATTTTGCAGCCCCTGATGAAAGCTGCCAAACTTGGAATTATGATGTCTAACCCAGTGGGAAACATCCGCCACTGTTTTACCCCCCTTGCTGCATACATTGTTGATACTCCTGAGGCATGTATGCTCACATGTGTGTGCGGTAAAACTTCTCCATTTACACTGGTGTTGTATCTGCAGTTCGGGGACAACTTTCATCACCCCGCACATACACGCGCCATCACTCTTGATCAGCTCACCAGCGTCAATATTGATCCCAATGACCTCAAAGCTTTTTTTGCTGCATGCGCGGATTTCTGGCTAAATGGTGTCTTTGCACCTTTCTGGAAGGGCTGGCGGTTTGGTGATCCTGCAATCTTCCTTACACTGGAAGCTCTGCATCACTGGCATAAGCAATTCTATGACCACGTCGTCCAATGGTGTCTTGTAGTTCTTGGAGCAGTGGAATTTGATTTCCGGATCTCAATATTGCAACCCGTCACAGGTTATCACCACTTCTCCAATGGAATCTCCAAACTGAAACAGGTCACAGGCAGAGTCCACCATGATATACAGTGTTATATTGTTGGAATGATTGCTGGTGCAGCCCCTTGTCAATTTGTGGTTGCAATTTGTGCTTTAATGGATGTCCGATACTTCGCGCAGTCTCCCTCACCTGATGACAGCGTACTGACATCTATCGACAGATTGCTCGCAATATTTCATGACAACAAAGATGCCATTATGACACTAGGTGCTTGGATGGGTACAAAGAGAGCCATCAATAATTGGCACATACCCAAGCTGGAGCTCATGCAGAGCATTACCGCTAGCATATCCCAAGTCGGCACCCTCATCCAGTGGTCCACGGATGCAACTGAACACGCACACATCTCCGAAATCAAGGAACCAGCGTGGTGCACGAACAACAACAATTACGATCCCTAGATCTGTCGTCACTTAGATCAAGCAGAGAAGCTGCATCGTTTTGCAATTGCTACAACTCTCAAGAGCCTTCCTGCTGATCCCGATCTCGAAGAACTTTGTGAGGTTGAAGGGGACAATGACAATGACAGGGACTGGGATGAGGATGAGGAAGAAAAAGGGGCAAGTAGTGAACCAATGGATCCACCAACTGCACTTTTAGAAGAGCTGAATCACACATGGACCAGTTCCAACTACTTCAGCAAAATAAGAATGTTGGCTACTGCAAGGCACGATGAAATTCCCCAGGCTCACCCTCCTTGTACGTTCCTTGCTGGCAGCACCGCCATTCATCTCAACTGTAACCCCACCTGCACTGGTGTGAAAATTGACAAGGTCGCCGATCAATTCAACATCCCAGATCTGTGGTATGCTCTCTCAGACTTCCTTCAATGCGATGCAAGGAATGGAAATGGAGTTTTTGGGGTGGGGGTCCCAAGAAGATCACTGATCGACCGCCCCTTGAATATCCCTTTCAAGCGCATTCAAATATGGCATACTGTTCGCATGCAGCAAGTTTGTCTCCACGGTCACTAGCCTGAGGGAGCACTTGCTGAACAAACTTGCCAACCATTCAGACAGACAGGTGAATTGTTGTTGTAGGGTGCGTTGGTCCACAGTACTCATTCAATACTCCATAGCATTGACTAGTCTTGACTCTGAATCCATTAGACGCCATGGCAGATGACCCACTCACTCACCAAATTTCCCCAACTTCACATGCTACTACTTTGTTCGACCTTTATCTCTGTGGCCCTTCACTCAGTTCGACGGGTTGCCCACCTGAGGGTGGTCACAGGAATGATCTCATCAAAGATCTACTCAAATCAGAGCTCAACAGCCACATCATCTTTGAAGGCAACTTGAACATCAAACACAGTGCTAGCCTTTTCCACCACCTCATTCCCAAATCGTTATTGAAGACCAAGGATATCGCAAAAATCAAGTACTATGGCAAAAATAATGGACCACCAGTATATTTCCATGGCGTGTGGAACTTCAATCGAAAAAAAAAGCACAAAGAGAACAATAAGAACATCAACTCCAGGTCAGACGACTCAGATGGCACTAGCGCAGATGTCGCTGACACGGATACCGAGGCCTTGGATTCTCAATGTTCTGGGATAATGTCTCAAGACACAGATGGCACCTGGAGCTGTGATGAATATGATGGGACCGCAGAGCCAGGATCGAAGAGGGCACGTAAGCCTTCATCGACTGAGAAAGACTTACAGTGCCTCTTCAAAGCCATTCAGTACGCCCTGCACCGTGAATCGAAAATCCGGACCAAACTTCCCTTCCAAATATCGAAAATCGAACAATACTGGTCTGCAGAGTTTGCCAACTCACCAATACCAGACCCTTACAATGCACAAAAGCCTGATCTTGCTCTGTTTTATTACAAGAGTAAAGTTTGCGAGAAAGCATGGACAGACATCCTGAGCTTTGTCGAGCATACATCCTCTGATTTCAGCAAGAGGCGTGACCTAGGAGTGTACTGGGGGTCCACCACTAAAGCATATCTCATCATGTGAGAACAGCTGGGGCATCGCTTCATCCTCTCATTCTTTATCTCTGCCGAACAACTTTATGCTCATTATTGTGACCACTTGGGCCTCATCATAACTCTTCCAACTCCCATCCAATTGTCACCTGCTCGTGTTGCTGATGCAATAGCTACTCTCTCGTTAGCGGATCCGAGCCTCTTGGGTCTCGACCCCACAACCCATATGTGCATCCCTTCTTGCAAGGGTACTCACACCGACCTAGTAGTGGGGGCGATCGGTTGGGTAACCGACAACGCTGGTAAAATATTCTCAATTATGGCTGTTCTATGGAAGAGCCAGGGTCTATTTTGTCGTGGAACAGTTTGTTACCGTGTTCGGGATCCTGTAGAAGGGAAATAATATGCGATGAAAGATTGTTGGGTGGCTGAGGTAAAGAGATTCCACAAAGTAGACGTCCTTAAGAGAGTCAAGGGCATCCCTAATGTGATCCAACTCGTAGACCATTGAGATGTCCTATTCAACAGGGAGCCTGACTGCACAGCCCACATTCGGGATAGATATGGCATCCGGCCTGAGGACAGGCCAGACAAGAAGTTTATTAACAGGTATCACCGGCGCCTTCTCTTGACCCCCTGTGGAGATCCGTTATGGGATTTCAGCTCCAGAAAGGAACTGATTTGTGCCTTTCACAATTTTGTGGTCGGTGAGTTCAGTTTCATGTGTTTGATCATGAAATGATGATCCAACAATGAGTTCTACATGGAGACCTTAGCCTGAACAATTTCATTATCCATGAAGGCATTGGGTATTTCATTGATTTTGACCATGCGTCAATCATGAAGGAGGGCAAGACATTTACTATTTCGTTTGGTACTGTAAGTTTGAACGTGAAGTTCGCAGTTCTCGCTATTGATCGTCAATCTCACTATTGCAGGGAACTGTGCCATATATTTCTATGCGCATTTTGAAACAATGTCAAAGAACACCAACATCCTCAAGAAGTCAAGGGCAAGTATTATTGCAAAGAATAGCGCCAACACCAACAGCATTGCTCAGTTGAAACTGGTTGAGCACAACCCCAGTGATGACCTCGAGTCACTGTTCTACATTTTTTTCAAATTCGTTTCAAAGTATGGGGGTGTGCACAGTGCAGTTGCTCCAACTTGGGATAAGACAACTATGCCATGGGCGGATGCTTACAAGAATTTGGGTGCTACAAGCAGTTTGCTTGCCACCTTTTTGGCAAAGAAGGGAGCCATGTCCGAAAGTGATATTCTGATAGACAGGGTATCAGACTACTTTGCAGAATTCAAGCCCATTGTTGACGAATGGCACAATCAAATTTATCGCATGAAGTCCAATCTCAACGGGGCCATTGTTCACGATCACATCTTCCAAATGCTTGTCAAATTCATTATGAAACTTGACGATGAAAAACCCACCCCATTGCCCTCTCCAGTAGCTCCCCCTGGTGCCCCCCCCCCCCTGCCCCCCCCCGGTGCTCCCCCCCCCTGCTCCCCCTGTGCTCCCCCTGGTGCCCCAAGTCATACTGGAGCTCCCCCCACAGCAGGATCTTCACTCCATCGTTCATTAAGGCTCAGCACACTGGCAGGCCAGACCTAACGATGCTAGCAGGGACTGACATAATTTTGATTCCTCTTATTACAATATCTGTGTACCTCGCTATATGTTTGTCCTTCCTATGCCTCCCTTAGTGCACCACGCCATCATGATTATGTCATGTTCATGCCCATAAACTATACCTTAGGAAGTTCATACATGATAAAGTCATCTGGACTCTGATCTCTCAGATACATGCCTCCAAAGAAGAAGCCCAGGCGTTCTTCTCCAGATCTGGAGGCAACTACTTGGCGAAGCTCAAGATCTAATTGTGGTGTTGGCAGTCATGCAGCACAGCTTCAAATAGTTGGAGAAATGGTTGCTGCCAGGAAATGACTGAAGGGTGACGATCTTCAAATCAGCAGCTCAGAAGAAAATCCTATGGCACCTTCACAGCTTCAGAAAGGGAAAAAAAATGTAATATGAATTTATTTTGACTATGTTCAAGCTAATTTTTTCAGCCTCCTGCAAAACCTTCCAGCATTCCCAAGAACAAACAGAACGAATGCAGAATAACAGGAAGCAGTCAGCATCCTCAGGCCCCTACTTCCTGTCCAAATCCATACGTGGCTCGCTCTTCCAAAAGGTTCAGATTCAAGGAACCCCAGTCCAATGGTCGCGAGAAGGCCAGGGAGGGACAGCCTATGCAGAAGGAAACACAGTCCAGTGATCACAAACGGTTGAGCAGAACATGGGTCAGTGAGACCCAAGTCATGAGAGGGAGTCTGCAGAACGTGATAGTGGTCGCCAGAAGGACAGGCAGGATATGGATGATGACAGGGAGTCTCCGCCCAGCTCTCATGGAAGTGATGAGTCTGAACATGACAATGCTGACCATGATTTCGACAGCAATACACAGATGTGAGTGTGCTTCTGTGTCGCTTGTGTGCTTCCTGATATTATACTCTCATTGCAGTGATAGAGATGTTATGCACCCATGAACGGACGACACAGGCGACACAATGGATTTCGACGAGAATCTGAATCAATCTTTTCCTGACGATGAAGCTTGGGGGGGGGGGGTATTCAACAAGGAGATCCGGATGGCGAGTGCACAGATATGGAGTAGGATAAGGTATTTACATTTTCACTCTCTATTCCTGTGTTAACTATATGTACTCAAGGCTTATGATGTTCTCGAGCATCATCATGCAAAGAATGGGCAGTGCAAAGCTCCTTCACCAACCCATTTGTCACAGGGGAAGGGAAAGGACTATCCATGTACTTTCAATTGCTCAGAATCCCCTCAGTGATGCGCATCCCAACATGTTTGCTCTAAATCTTCTCACCCACACTCTCCTCAATGCATCAGGCCCTCGAAGTCCCCTCATCAATACCCTGTTTGAACGGTTCAAAATGCTCACCTGCATGTTGTTTCTCTCGTTCAAAGTCTCCACATCAACAACAATCATCTCAGCAAGTCAGATATCCACGCGCTTCATCCTCATGTACTCAGTCTCCTCTTTGGTGCCCATCTCAACCAGTCACTTCCTCAAGTTGCAGTCACATGCAGCCCACCTCTCGTGGATGCTCTCTGTCACACTCTCCATCTGACTCTACTCTGGCTGCAAACCATGAATGCTCTTGTAGCTCTACACCCGAAGATACTCATTGATCTGGCAACAGCAAATGGAAGGTCAAGCCAAGCCAGGGGAACCCTTTGAAGCTAGGGTTTTATCCGCCCACTTGGCAAGTATTCCTGCAGACGGCTAAGTTAGAGATGCAGCTGCAGGCTGTTTTAGCCCACCCAATTCCAGAATCCCAGGACGCCCTCAACCTTACTCGAGAAGTCTTGGATGCCATGCTATGGACATACCATGAGAAGAAGAATAAACTCGAGAGAGGTATGTTCTCCTTACACCACCATCTACCCTTCTCACGTATTTTTAAGGTTACTTTCCAGAGTACAACGCAGATATGTGCCGGCTGGTAGGTTCTTCATTTATTGATGGCAAATGCACTCACTGATATGTTGATGAGCTGTGTGACGATCTCTTCACGTTCCGCACAGAGCTCAAAAAGGTCATCATCTCTATCGCAAAAAGGGCATATGATATCTTCCCACAGGGCTCCGCAATGCGAAAGGAGGAGGTTCAAAAGCAGGTCACTGCTGCTGCTACTAGGCTCCTCAAGAGCGGTGACTACCTCCGGCTCCCTGACTCGTCTGGTGTAGGTCATGACTCCTGGTAATTGCGTCATTTACATTTAATTCTTGCAGGGACAATTCAAGAATTTCATGGCGCAGGCTCTCAAGGGCGCATGTCTTGAATTCTACTACAGCAACAGCAAGAAAGCATTGAAGAACACAGACAAATTCCGCCACACAATCCCCGTCAATGCGATGCTTCTTGTAGCAGTGGTGGTATGCTTATTGTTCTATATTATTTCGTCACTGATGATTCAACAGTTGAAGGGTGTTATCTCTGGCTTTCGGGAGACCAGCACTGACAAGGTTCCTGATCTAACCGCTGAACAGTGCAGGACCCACTTCGTCAATTTACAGAAATCAGTTGACACACTGCTTAGGCAATGACACGGGTAGACCCGTGGGTGTCACCAGCATCACCTGCACCCGCACCCGCAGGTACACCCACACCCGCACAGCAGGTACACCCATGGGAGGTACACCCGCAGGTGCATACTAGCATAGCTCAAAAAAAACAAAAAATGTAAATGTAAATAAGTACTAGGTTAATTCAACACGATCCTGTCCCACCCGTCCGCGAGCTCCTCCTCAACATCACCCTCAATGTCTGGCAAGGCAGAGACTTTCAGTATATCCTCTGTCTTGATGAGATTCAGATGGCTCCAAGCATTGAGGCACAACAATGCCTGTGTTGACTGTGCAGACAGACGCAAATGAACGTGAGAGAGAAGGAGCCTACCACAACTAAAAAGACGTTCAACATCTACAGATGTAGCTACAAAAAAAAATGCTGTTAGAACAATCCACAATCGAGTAATGAGTCAAATGTACTGGGAATCATAAAATAATCAAGTGCCATGCATGATAGGTGGGGATAAGAAGTGCATCGCTCGTGCCACCATGCGATAGCATTAGTAGAAACATTCTCAACATCGGCGCTCAGGTAGCGGTCCAGTTCATTTCCTAAGTCAGTCGATGTAGGTGGCGCGAGTGCTTGCATCTTGTCAAAAATATTCTAAGTAGAACACATTGGTCAGTCACAGTAAAAGGAATGATGAGGAATAAAAAACACACCGAGTAATAGGTATCTACTGCTGGTGTAGCCAGAACATTGGCCTCGACCTCACCATCAGCATCATCTCGAATTTCCATATTCAAGTAGGACCACTCAAACTCATCGCCGACAAGATCTTCCGCAATCTTGATCCATCCATCCTCCCAGCCTGCGGACTTGAAGTAGGATAGTTTATGGCATGGGTGTAAGACTGTGATTCAAAAAACCGTCAGTGTTAATAAGTCAATAGACAGGAAAATCTTGAGATACCCATGGCAATCCTATACACCTCTGACATATCCATCATCTGATAGTATCTGTCAAGGGTTTTCTTGGCAAGTCCAATGGCAGAACGAATGGATGGTAAAAACTTCGTATCGTGAGAATACATTGTCATCCGCTCATCAATTAAGTCCATTGCAGGTATAACAGTCGCAAGATTGGGGGTTGAGCGAGAGAAGAAGAGGGTAGCGTCCTTGAGAACCTTAGCCGCCGGTAAGACATAATGGTTTGTTTATCAAACAAACTCACGCACCTTCAATATGTCACACAGTTGCCTTGTGATTTCCCACTCATTATCAGCCAGCTCGAATTTTCGCAGACCCAGCTCTCGTCACTGGGTCACAATATTGATCGCATCCTGATGTGCGAGGGCATACTGCAACATATCATAGGTCGAATTCCAATGGGTGGAGACATCGCGTTGTAGGATGCAGATCGGCACCGACATGGTACTCCCTTGATGTACTGATCCACTGCAATATTCACCCGACCCTGTGCGCTCTATCCGACTCCTTACCGATCGAACTCCCGCCCATGCACGTTCAAGCTGCTCGCACAAGCGGATCGGCTGACGACGAATCAACATGCATCATCGGTCGGTCGCGCGCGTGTTTTGCCTTTCTAGCTCACAGATACTCAGTCGAACCCCATATCCATAAAATCCTTGTCCACTGGTGCGTAGTATATTCTTCTTTGGTTTATTTGACAGATACAGTACTTTTACCTTTCAAATTCCCTATTACGTCACCTTAAGCGGCTCGGACCGACTTACTCTCACATATCCCCATACATATCACGGACGATCGACTGCATGTTCCGCCTACATGTCTAGCAAACCACGAGGTAGCCTGGACATCCCAAGCGATGATTATCTCCATTATTTACCTAGTAGCCGATTTTGTACTTAAGGAGCGCTCGCCTGTTATTGCAATCCAGTTAATTCTCACTCAGAAGCCGTGTCTTGTGTGTTCCATTCTCTTCTGATCCTATTCTCGTGTCTGTCTGCATGTTTGTCTTGAAACTTCCATTCCCCATCATCTATCTTGGTCGGCCGCACTTGCTCGCACACCGCATAGCGGTCGGTGGAAATTATAGTCGGTCGGCTTTGCGGGTAACCAGTTATGCTGAACACATATTGGATCGGCCGCCCCTTTGACTCGTTGTCACGCCCCTCGTATTTTATACTGAGGCAGCAATTCACTTTGCTTTGTTCTGCTTCCCTTGGGTCAAACTGAACATTTTAGGCTCACTACTCGAATTGGCCGTTATCGCGCTGAGGTCATAGTGGAATCTGCTCCTTACAACTGGAGCCCACCACGAGGGGTTCACCATTGCCCACCGCAAGACAACTTCGTCCAAGACCTGGCCACCCGGTAGTTCCTCAGATACATAGTCAGCTCAAAGATATTCTGCGAACCTGCGCTCGCCGCATAGAACCCACTCCAGTAGTCGAAACGTCTCAACATTCACCTCTCAATAGTCCCTCAGCCTCATCAGTCGACCTCGCACTCACGCCAAGTACTCAGGACGAATCGCCCGATATCATTGAACCCCAACCGACGTACATACATCTTCCTAGTTTTCCTCCACCATTCTTCATACGACAACCGTCCAACTTCTTCGTACCATCCGCGCCTCTTCCCATTAAACCCACTCGAATGTCGACCCACTCGTTCCAAATGCCGCTTCGCGGAACTCCAAGCGCCCCTAAATTTGACAGAAGCACACGAGACCTAATTCGGTACTTTGAAGATGTTAGTCAACTTGCCAACGCCGCGAACCTCACTCTGGCACAAGCGATCAAAGCATGTCTCTGTTACATCCACAGAGATGATGCGGAAACTTGGGAAACATTAGAAGAAACAGGCAAGGCCGACTTTGACAAGTTCGTCAACGCGGTCAAAACCCTGTATCCGGGTTGTGAAAGTGACAAATGGTATATGAGAGCTGACCTCGAATTCTTGGTAAACGCGCAAACGGCCAAGCCTATGCAGTTGCAGGACGATGTGGGAGTGTATTTGCGGCAGTTCTGCAGCGTCTCTACCTTTTTGATTAAAAAGAAACGCCTCGCAGAGAACGAGCGTGACCGTTTGTTTTTGGAAGGATTCCATCCTGACGTTCAAACCCGCATCTGACGCTGATTGGAGATCAAGGAGCCCGACCTACACCCCGATGATGCATATACTCAAGCGTCGGTGTTGGAAGTGGCGCTCTTTCTTCTTCAAGGATCGACGTCGCTCCAAGTGCAATCCATATCGCCTTCACCGAACCCAGCTGCCCAACCAGTACGACGTACCTTTGCGCCGTCCGCACCTCCGCCCGCATCGCCCAGTGTAGTTGTTAAACAAGAATACGTCCTAAGTGAATCACAACCACCGCCAATCTGCTATTTCTGCGGCCGCACTGGTCACACAACTAAAATGTGTAGGGAAATAGATGCATATATGGCATCAGGAAAAGTCGCTCAGACTAGCAAAGTTCAGGTCGTGTTGGCTGACGGATCAAGAATCCCCGCAGTTTCAGGAACGATGATGAAAGACCAAGTAGACATCATTGTAATGGAACACCATCCACACAAGGTATCATCGCACGCAGTAGCAGGGCTATTCGTTTGTTCAGGGCCAGAAATTGATGTCAAACTCAACATAGAATCTTCTGCCTTCCTGCAAACACAGACTACGAATGAAGACAAAGGTGAAGAAGACCCAGATGTCGCCACAGTTCGCGCCCTCCAGCTTGTGCTCAAAATCGCTCAGGATAACATCATCAAGAAACAGGCTAAGTCAGTTCGCTTCGAAACCCCTGCCTCGCCTAACACTAGTGTGCCTGCGAGCAACTCGAAGTCATTTGATGAAATAGTATCCCCACAAGTGAAGGACGCTAACGAACAAGCAAAGCCACATGTCACACAGGTACCAAGGATGACAGCCGCCCCAAGCACGCAATATTCGCATTACTTTCCGCTTGAAGACCCGACTGCAAGAAAGCGCGTCCTAGACAGTGTCATGCAGACGACAGTGCCAATACCCGTTCAAGATATCCTGTTGATCGCACCAGAGCTTCGGAAGCAATTCAAGGATCAAATGACGACCCGACGGGTTGCGGTAGGAACTCTTTCTGTTAATGAGTTAGCAGGCGTGAACCCCGAATGCTTATGGGGCGAATATGAGCACACGCTTAACCACTCAAAAGACGGGACTATTACCGCTCACCAGTCCATTCCCCTTAGGTGTATTGAAGCAACAGTACAAGGCCAAAAGATCACGTGCGTGCTCGACCAAGGTGCAGAAATCATCATGATGCGCAAGGACATCTGGCTATCGCTCGGTGTACCGCTGTGGTCTGATCATATTATGACCATGGAATCCGCCAACCAAAGTAAAGACTCGACGCTTGGCGTCATTGAGAATCTAGGATTCAATTTCGGGGCAGGAGAAGTCCACCTACAAGAACAGGTAGTCGAGAAAGCTAACTTTCAAGTCCTTTTAGGTCGGCCGTTCTACGCACACATGAGCTGCCGCACGCAAGATTTCATTAACGGGGAACAGAATGTCACGATATCGGACCCGAATATGGGGAAGGAGATCATGATCGCAACAAAACATTGGTTGAAGGTTTGTCTGTGCTGTTTGCGCAATTTACATTGCGCAAATCACTGCAAAATCTTGGGATCAGGTTTTTGACGATTGATGATCCGCACAATCGGGGAGATGAATCTCATTCATGTACATTGGATTATGGACGCTCTTCACTTTCTGACCAACCCTCAAGGGGTCAACAGTCCTTTCAAATTGCCCAGACATTTTCCTATTCTTCACCCCCTACTAATTTCTCCCCTGTCTATATGTTTCTCGTTTCTTCTCAGACTTGCTTCAACCGCGCATCCATTGCTGCTTTTCAGTCCAGCTATCAGTTCAATCTTGCCTCAAGGGCGCTCATGTACAAGCCTGTTGCACGGAAAGTCCGTACTGTACCAGAGTCGATCACAGAGGACTATTATATCAAGCGTAAATTACCTGATGACCCTCTTGCAGGAATGGCCGATCTTCCTATGCATCCACCCGACTTCGTACCAGGGGAGCGCTTCATGCAAACACGTGCGGACAAGATTGACCTCAATCCTGCAAATTGGTTGTGGCCAGAAGAGCTAAAGCTAATTTGTTGGTTAGTTTGTACCCATGAAAAGGCCTTTGTTTGGGATCCTAGTGAACGCGGCCGCTTCAAAGAAGAATATTTTCCACCCATCAAGATCGCCACGGTACCACATACACCTTGGGTTCAGCACAACATTCCTATTCTGCCTGCAATATTCGATGAAGTCGTCCAAATTATCAAAGACAAGATAGCAGGAGGAGTATATGAACCGTCCAACGCAGCATATCGTTCATGATGGTTTTGCGTTGTCAAGAAAGACAGAAAATCACTCCGGCTCATCCACGACTTGCAGCCGCTCAACGCTGTGACGGTTAAAGATGCAGCGTTACCCCCATTCACCGACCACCTAACGGAAGCATTCGCGGGATATGCAGTATATGGGATAATGGACTTATATGGTGGATATGATCATCAGCCGCTTCACCCGGAATCACGCGATCTCACCACGTTCAGAACACCCCTCGGCCCTCATCGACTCACCACACTTCCGCAAGGATTCACTAACTCATCGCAGATATTCCAAGCCGACATTTCATTCGTTTTCCAACTGGAGATTCCGCAGTTCACTCTCCCGTTCATCGATGATTTACCAATAAAATCGGTCACCACATGCTACCAACAGGAAGACGGGACGTATGAGACTGTTCCAGAGAACCCAGGGATACGGCGGTTCATTTGGGAACACTGCATAGTCGTCCATCGAGTCCTCCAGCGACTAGAAAACGTAGGAGCAACTGTGTCAGCAACCAAGTTCGTCCTAGCAGCGCCCACGGCCATCATACTTGGGTATAAATGTATGATCGATGGACGAGTCCCAGAAGAGTCAAAGACACAGAAGATCCGGGATTGGCCCGAACCAAAGAACATCACGCAAGTCCGCGGTTTTTTAGGTACTTGCGGTGTTCTGCAAATCTTCATCAAAGACTTCGCTCGAATCGCTCGGCCGCTCGTGCAGCTTATGTGCAAAGACCAACCATTCGAGTTCGGCCCCGCACATCAGGAATCTATGAGGCTTCTGAAGGAAGCAATTGTGAATTCGCCCGCTCTACGTCGCATCAACTACGAGTCAGGCCATGAAATCATTCTCGCTGTCGATACTTCTCTTATCGCGGTCGGTTTCATACTTATGCAAATAGGTGACGATGGGAAACGCTACCCCGCTCGCTTCAGATCAATAACGCTCAACGAAGTCGAATCGCGCTATTCTCAAGCAAAGCTAGAGTTATATGGACTATTCCGGGCACTTCGAGCTGTCCGCGTCTGGATCTTTGGTGTCCAAAGGTTGATGGTCGAAGTTGACGCCAAGTATATCAAAGGGATGATCAACAACCCTGATTTACAGCCGAATGCGTCTATCAATCGATGGATTGCAGGTATTCTTCTTTTTGATTTTAAATTGGTTCACGTATCTGGAGCGAATCACAGCGGAGCGGACGGACTCTCAAGGAGACCGCGCTCCGAAGCCGACCCTATCCAAGATGACGATCATGAGGATTGGTTAGACAATGCATACTCATTCTCGATTGAAGTATTGAACGAGCGCGCACGGCCGATTCAAATGAGTCGCGTACGGCCAACTAATGCAGAGCACACTTCTTACAGAGCCTACCAAGAAAGCGCGGGCGATGAATTGGTCATTAATATCCCTCGCTCTGACACTGCCAAAGCATATGATGAACGGATCGATCACATTCACAATTTCCTTAGATCTCAAATCCGTCCTAGCGCTCTTAGTGACCTCGAGTTCCAATCACTCGTCAAGCAAGCCATGAAGTATTTCGTTCTGGACAAAAAGCTTTGGCGTTGGCATTCACACGGCCATCATCAAATCCTAATCTGCAGAGAGCGATGCTACCAGATCATCAAAGACGCACACGACAACATCGGCCACAAAGGAGTCTACTCTGTATGTGCGCGGCTTCTCATTCGGTTCTGGTGGCTGATGTTGTGCGAAGACGTCAAATGGTATGTCAGGACATGTCACGAATGCCAAGTGCAACAAACAACCAGATTGCACATCCCTCCAACCGTGCCAATCCCAGGCGGTCTTTTTTGGAAAGCCCATATTGATACGATGCTAATGCCGAAAGCGGGTGGTTTCAGATACCTAGTACAAGCGCGTTGCGCGATGTCTTCCTATCTGGAGTGGCGCATGTTGCACTCCGAAAATGCATCAACCATAGCCGCATTTGTCTTCGAGGAGATTCTCTGTAGATGGGGACCGTTAACCGAGATAATTACTGACAATGGACCAGCATTTATATTAGCACTCAACGAACTTGCCGATCAATACGGTATTCGACACATCTGCATATCGCCGTACAACTCGCAAGCGAACGGAATAGTCGAACGGTGTCATTTCAATGTCTGGGAGGCCATCATGAAAAGTTCCGAGGGGGAGGAGAAACATTGGTACAAGAACGCTCATACTGTCTTTTGGGTCGAATGGGTAACTATTCTCAAATCATGCGGTGTGTCGCCTTATTTCTTAGTGCATGGGGTCGAACCGTTATTTCCATTCAACCTCACCGAAGCAACCTTCCTCGTTCCATTGCCCGATAAAGATGAGTTTACATCTACAGACCTCATCACTTGGCGCGCTCAGCAATTACAAAAGCGCGCGGCCGACCTTCAGCTTATGGAAGAAAAAGTTGTAAAGGCTAGGTATAAATCGATCCAGCATTTCGAAGCGACTCACAAAATCACATACCACAACTTCGCACCTGGAAGTCTAGTGTTAGTGCGCAATTTGAGGGTCGAAGCTGAACTAAACTGAAAGACAAAACCACGCTATCTGGGACCAATGGTCGTTCTCCGATGAACGATCGGCAGCTCCTATTTGCTGGCAGAATTGGACGGAGCAGTATCGTGCCTTCGATATGACGCCTCTCGAATTGTTCTATACCAAGCATGGACGAAAGCCTGCATCTCAGTGACAACCATGACAGGATTAGAAGACGCCGCACTTGACCGCTTAGCACTGGAAGAAGTAGACGATGAAGACACCGACCCTAACACTCCTTAACCCCCTCCCATCCGCTGAATCAACCGCAGAATATACTACAAACATAGCAATAATCATACCGACACTCCCTCCCTTTCATTATTTTACCCCGGGCTTCAACCAGCGATCGTTCATTATCTCCCACCATACACCGACCCAGACATATTCATAAAAACACCCCAGATCCCGAGTCATCATTCCACTTATTTATCTATTTATGTGCCGATCCCACTAACAATATCTTACCACTTTTTATTTTCAAACGCGCTCTCCGGCAGAGCGCCCCTTCTTGTATTTAAGCCGACCAAGATCACGCTGCGAGAAGTGGAAGCCAATCAAAGAAGACAAGTCGGGCGCGCACCCTGCACCGATGCAATGTTTATATTTTCTTCTATCAAATTATACTTACCACCAATCTCTTTATCGTATTTCAGGCACTCAGTGGACTTGGATATGGATATGGGATCGCAAATCGGCGCTGACGGCCGTAGTCATATTCAACAAAGCCAGGAATACGCAACTGTTTACAGGAGAAGAGATCGCAACATTACAGACCAGGATACAAGGACTTGCGCAGTACGCGCAGCCGCTCCCTGTGCTCCCACAGTTCGGCTGATGACCCTTTCGCCTTTGCTTCCAATGCACAAAGCTCCTGGGCCGCACGAACAGCCGCACGATCAATCATTGCTGCCCCGCCCCTCCTTACGCGCTGTATGCACGGAGTCGGCTCTTCCGCGGCTGTGTATCGATCGTCGTCATCGTCATCACCAAGATCGATAATGTCCGACCACTTTGAGGACGAGGCCTCGGGTTTCATGGCTGAACGAGAAATTAGTGAAGGAGTCAAGCATGCTTAGAACAAGATACATACCGTTCAAGAGAGAGCAAGGCTTTTTCAGGGTGACACACCCAGAGCATCGCCCACCCACGGGACCCCTGCACACGCGCTTCTTCTTCGCCCTTTTGCACAGATCGCACGGTGGATCGTGCGCTATAACATGAGACTGCTTGTCCTAAACAAGGGGTAGAACGCGTCAGATCAACCGCAAGAACAACTAAGATACATACCTAAGCACGCTTGCCAGATTTCCGCCTGCTTCTCCGTGCCTTGGACATCGCCTTCGAACGACAGAGTAATTCCAGAGGAGTTCACGATCTCAGTCGCTGCACGCGCACGATCCTAAGGTCGATCGGTCAAGACGCTAAACGAACCGCATATACCACGCACCATGAGCCCCATCCACCTCCAATGTTAATATACAGGTGAGTTTATATGTATTCTAACCCACCTTGATGAGAACTAACTTAATGGGTCTTATGTTTTTTTGCAGCTCCATGGATTGGTCCTTTGGCAACAAATCCACCTCGTTCACCCACCCTTCATTGTTGTCTTGCGGGTCATCTTCCTCACTATACTGGGCATTCATCTCTCAATCTTCCCTCTCAATGTTGTCACTCAGCTCGATGAGTCTATCATTGGCGTCATTGGCATCATTGGCATCATCAGCATCATCGATGTCAGCATTCAATGCATGCTCAGTGTCTTTCTTCGACACATCAAACTCCCGTATCAACAACTTGGCAACAAGATTGACGGTGTGCAAAAAGCACCGAGTGTGACTTGCCTCCCCTGCGAACTCAAGAACCAATATTTTGAGCTTGTCAACCATGACATTATTGTTGGATGCGTTATCACATGTCACACTCAATATCTGTTTGTCGAATCAGCGTGTAAGTTTTGTTTATTGTTTCGGACCTTACCTTCTCTAATATCCCAAATTCCTTTAGCATATCTGCAAATACAATTGCAAGTTGCTCCCCAGTGTGAGACTGGTACCGACGAGTCATTTTCTGCACCATTGTCAATGTAAGTAAATTTGTACCGAGGCAACCTCAATGATATCTAATGGAAAGCTCAGTGGGATGCCTTCATGCTCTAGATGCACCAAAAACGCAATGAATGCATGGTGGTTCTCTGATGTCCATGCATCCGTCATGAAATTCATTTTGCCTTCATATTCCTGGTACGTTTAGTTTCTTTTAAACCTTTGAACAAATGAAAATTGACTCACTCCCAACATCTTAGCAATTCGCTCACACATTTGTGCAAACACAAGTTTTACATCATGCGAGATAGTTCACGGGGAAGGTATGTAATATTCGGGTCTCCCAGTCTTCATCAAACACTGAAATCCTCTATCTTTGACAATGTTGAATGGCCGCAGGCTCTCCGCTACCCAATGAACTAGCTCAGCTCTGCGAGGTGGCGTGTTAGCTACTGCGCGTCGTGAGGCTCGAGGACCCACTTTGTTTCAGTACTGAGTATGCTGCCTATGCGAGTACAGTCACCTTTCCTTTTCCTTCATGCTCAAACGATTCTGTTATTGACCCATCATGAAGGATACCGGCAACAATCTTTGTTCGGATTTCCTCCATGTTCTTTGCTTCATAGGCTGTCTGCAGGACTTCATCACCCCAGCAAATCTTGACATGCTTTCGCATGTTGCCCGTCGAGCGTGCATCTTTTTTATCAAGGAACCAGGCGGATCCAGGACTTTGCATCCCTTGGCCATACACTTGAATCCATGTGTGCGACGGCCATTGAGAGTCTCAATGACAGGATGTGGGATCAAAAAAAGCATAGATAGGTGAGTTCCACTCCTTCATTAACCGTTCTGCAGTAGCTAACATTAGCTGGTACTTAGAGCTCGAACTTGGCCTCTTACTGAGTTTATCTTCGGCACTCTCTTCAGTGATGGTACCTTTGCCCGCATCATTCCCACCATCACTGATAAGAATAGCTTCTTCATTGAACAGTATCTTCTTTGGAGAGAACCACACCTGGATGGACTTTAGTTGGGCCTTGTTCAATTGTTCTGCCACCAGCTGGAGGCTGAATGGGTGCTTTAGGAGGTGCTTCCTTAACATTGTTACCGCGTTCTTGGCCCAACTTAGTTTTCTTTGGCCATGCATGTGTCATGATGCTGCTATCTTCATTCTTCCGTTTTTTGGATGAGATTTTAGATGAGGTTTCGAGTTTTTCGTCTATTGCTGCCTTAGCTTTATCCGTAAGTTTTGTGATACATTTAGCAGCTGTTTGTTACAGGGACCCTCAGACCCCTATTGTCTCCACCAAACATCGCTGTCACAACCGCGTCACAACACGTGACAGATGACATCACCAGCACGTGACTAAACTGCAAAGCACAGCATGACAGCCGTTGGAGCAGCACAGCTCTAGAACCAACCTAGACCAGGATCAATAGAAGCCGCGCACTTCTCCCTTATCGCCCCTACCAATGCACTGGTACTGACTATCGTTTATCCTATCACTTATCATGACAGATAAACGTTATCTGACTTGGACACCTGCCGCTGTGCCGGTACCATACCCTGGACCCTTACCGATGAACCAGTACCCTTATCTCTGAGTCCTTATGACTCACATAGACACTTACCTAATTGGGACACTTTCTGGCTACCCAAGCCTACCCTGAACTCATAGGACGATACCTATATATACAACTGTAGTTAGACCATGTATTTCTCTAACTTGATCTTCACTTGTGATATACGACTCTAGCTTCCTCTTTGAACCTTTAGTCAGTCATTCTGGATGGACAGCCTCCATTCAGTCTCCCATCATCCTGGTGCTCCATGAAGCGGACACAGGATTGACCCTATCAAGTGCACTGTTGGGAAAGCCGGGCTTTCCCGTAACACTGTTCTGAGAAAGGTTGCATGCATGGTGTAGTTACAGTAGTAGCGTGTCAGGCTTTGGCTGTCATTTTGTTTTGTCATTGTTTTAAGTTAAGGTTTGCATTCTATGTAGGCATCGGAGTTATGACACAAGTGATTTGGCTTACAAACCCACCATAAGGGTACGGGTACGGGTATGGGTGTCCAAAGTCCATACCCCAACCCACACCCACGAAGTACCCCTACCCATGACCCATGCGGGTGGCCTGTACCTGTGTCATTGCCTAACGCTGCTTGACATTCCGGAGTGCTGCAAAGAGCTTGAAGACATGTTGGACCAATGGGCTAGGATTGGCATTGGTGACTTTGATGAGTATGCAGCTGGGATTGTGGCAGGCAGCGACGCGGAGGACATTAACATCATACTTTAGTATCGCTCTGAAATCATTACAGTTTATGCGAGCCTTGTGAGGCTGTATGTCATGTTTACTGTGTGAAGCCTGTGAATAAATGTATCCTTGGTACAGTCTGTACAGTCTGTGATGAGATGTACAGATTGTAGATGTATGTGACAGTATTGTAAAGGGGAGACTTCCTTGTGTAAGTGTAATGTCTGTACAATACTGTACAATCTTGTGCAATATTGTACAGGTGCCCCCTAGTTTGCTGATGTAGAGTTACCTTAGTGTTTTCTGGACCCCTGAATCCTGAGCCCATTCAGTCACATAGTCTGTATTATACAGGCAGCCGAGGTTGAAAATATGCTGTTCCATACAGGCCAGCAGACATCGGCCGATCGAATGGTTTTGCCTGTGCATAATGTTCGGCCGGCAGGCTTACTGAGACCCAATTTCAACAGCTGGGCCCATAAGTAATGATGGTCAATATTAACATGTCGGCCGGTGGCCATGAACATCATATGGCCCCATGGGTTCAGTATATTGGTGGGCAAATGGTGGTGGAGGAGTCTCTGATGCTGTCAGCTGGGCCCATGTAGAACATAGTGCCTGTGTGTATCGGTCGGCCAATTGTATGTGTGGTATCGGGCAAGCCCATGAAGGAGCAACAGTTGACTTTATCAGGTAGGCCCATAAAGCATGCATCCTCCGTGTATATTGGTAGGCCAATGATGGGTGTGAAGCCATCATGTGGGCCCATGGGGAGAAATTCCTGATGCTATCAGGCGGGCCCATGGAGCTTGTTGGCTGTGGCCATTGACTGGCTGACGGTCTGTATTAGATCAGGTGGGCCCATGTAGAATAGGTTGCATGTGCAGTATCGGTTGGCCAACATGGAATAGGTTGCCTGTGCGCATCAGTCGGCTGGTATGGAATACATTTCTTGTGTATCGGTCGGCCCACATGGAAAAGGTTGTCTGTGCATATCGGTTGGCCGACATGAAATAGGTTGCCTGTGCACATTGGTCGGCTGGTATGGAATAAGTTTCCTGTGCTTATCGGTCGGCCCATGTGGAATACATTGCCTGTGCACATCGGTTAGCCAGTATGGAACACATTTCCTGTGCTTATTGGTCGGCCCATGTAAAATACATTGCCTGTACACATCGGTCAGCCAGGTATGGAATATGTTTCCAGTGCTTATTGGTCGGCCCATGTAAAATATGTTGCCTGTGTGCATCAGTCGGCCCACGTGGAATACGTTTCCTGTGCGTATCAGTCGGCCCACATGGAATACATTTACTGTACTTATCGGTCGGCCTATGTCAAATACATTGCCTGTGCACATAAGTCAGCCAATGCTAGGTGTGAAGCCACCGTGTGGGCCCATGGGAAGGGATACCCGATGCTATTAGGTGGGCCCCTATAATGTGTTGTTTTTAGGTATCGGCCGGCCGACGGTCTGTATTGTATCAGGTGGGCCGATGTTGAATACTTTGCCCATGTGTATCGGTCGGCCAACAGCAAATGTGAACCCATCGTGTGAGCCCATGGGAAAGAACATTTGATTCTATTGGGTGGGCCCATACTATGTGTTCTATGTGCATATCGGCCGGCCTGATGGCATGTGTGGTGTCAGGTGGGCCAATGGGGGAGAAAAGGTCGATCCTATCCGGAAGGCTGATACGGAATGCATTGCCTGTGTATATCGGTCGGCCAATGATGGGTGTGAAGCTATTGTGTGGGCCGATGGGGATGAATTCCCGATGTTATCCACCGGGCCGATGTAGAATGCCCTGCCTGTGCATATTGGTCGGCCAATGCTTGCTGTGAAGTCATTGTGTGGGCCCATAGAATGTGTTGCCTGTACGTATCGACCGGCCCATGCAGAATGCATTTCCTGTGCATATCAGTGGGCCGATGGGATGGATGATGTCGGGTGGGCCCACGAACGAGCAGCGTTCGATTCTATCAGGTGGGCCGATGCGGAACGTGTTTCCCATGCACATCGGTCGGCACATGGCAAACAATGCCGATCATCTCGGCTTGGCCCATGGCCTCCATCTTCACGTCTGGTTGATCGGTGACACGGCAAGAAGACTTCAGGGATTCAATCAACATCATCGATTCAAATTAATTGACAACCTTATCACTAATCGATCCAAAAGGCTGAATGCAACCGTAATGTAATCTGATATACCATGACACGGTCGTCTAAGCTGAAACCGAGACATCCCAATCTACATCCTTGTATTTCGCATACTCTGACCGAGGTGTCCCCACAAAATTGTGAAGGCTATCGCGCATGAACCATGCCCACACGAACCGATCACCCCTGAATGTGACGCCATGCCTGACAATGTGTCCGGAGCAGCCGACCATGGCACCGGAGTTATATCGCAACTGAATGCCGAGATTGGACAGCGTCATGAGGCCATCGCAATAATGGCCGACACTGGTCATGACGTCGAACCCTTCTGGAGTAGATCTCGGATCTCGGTGAAGAGGGCATTGCCTGTTACACATGACGGCTGCGCAGTTGAACACCGAGGCCCAAAGTTGCAGACGAGCATACATGCCATCAAGCTCATTTTCCATAGCCCATCGAGCGAGTTTCATCTGTGTGGTGACCGAAGCCCAATACAACTCCTGGGTGCATCACCCGAAGAGCCGCCAAGGCCAGGAGTGCCGATCGCTGCATCGATATTATGACCTTCGGACCACCTTCGCCCTTCAGCAGTAGCCGACACCTCCGGGGTGAAGCCACCGGCGGGGGGGAATCCATAAGGCTGACACTGCCGAGTGAGTGTCGGCATCGCACATGAAGAAGCATGTCATACCTCTCGGCCTTGCTGGAACCAGCAAGGGGCTATGTTGATGCATCCTGGGGTTAGCAGGCGGCAATCGCTCATGTGAAAATGACCGGAGAATGTTCTCCAGTTGGACTCTTGTCCACTGGTGATGCTTGTTTTCAGGAGGTAGCCCATCCCGACCGTGGCTGCTTCCATCTCGGCCTGTGGGGTTGGTGTAAATGGTTGGCCCACAGGCGACAATACATAGCCTTACTTGAATCCACGGGCTAATGGCGTCCGGAAGGTACCATAAGATGATGCGGCCCCCGGAATCCATGAGCACCGAGGGCTTCTCCAACAATTGTTGGGAACTACAAGGAAATTTTTGGAGCAGAGCGTCTTCATGTTTTGTGATCCTCCCTGTGGACCTGTTTGTCGAGGGCTTCATTGTACCGAATCATGTCAAGATCAAGCTGAACTGCGATGTGTTAGTAAACCTCCGACCGAATGACAGAAATGACCGACTCGGGTTTGCATACGCATCGGCGAGCACTCGGGCTAACTGCCGACAAGCGAGCATGGTCGGCACATCCAGTGCCAATGGAGGCGATGCCAACGGTTGCCGATCGCCGACATGGCAAGCGAAGAGCCGGTGAACGAAGTCAGCAGCAATGCATGTGGTGTGCAATGCCCAGTCGGTAGGAATTGGGGTCATGATTCGGGCAGAGGAATGGGAATCATTCATTGATTGCTTATATACAAAGGCACCGAAACACATTTAATAATACTATGTACATCGCCGGTATTTTAAGCGATATCGGCGATAAGTCCGCACATACAGTCACTGCTCCGCACGAAATCGCCTACGGGAATTAATGAGCGCCTGCTCCACCTCATCAATCGGCGCCTCAAGTTGGGATATGGTGGAGGCGGCCGCTGCAGCGATCTGGGTCTTCTGCTCCAGCAAGGAGGCCATCGCTTCGCCGAGGTGTCGGAGATGGGCCCTCACCGCCACAATTTGATTGAAGAGGGCATCACCGTCCACCTGACCAGGTCACAGCGGGACCTGGCATGAGCATGGCTCCGATCGGCTAAACATTCACATCAGTGGAAGTCCAGGATGAGCGGAGGAAATGACCGACCAGTTGTTCAAAGTGCTCTCAGGTCATCTCCATGACCTCCTGAATGGTCAACATCGGGAGCTCGAACCCCAACCTGTCGAAGCGATCCTTCCACCAATCATGGGAATAATTGCGAACGACTCGGTGATTGGACCATAGTTCTTGGTCATTGGGAGAGCAGCACTCGAAGAATTCGTCGTGCAGTTCCTCAGCATTGATGGTGCCGGTTTGGAATTGAGCGAAGCGGGCAATGACGAGTGGAGAGGTTGGGCATGGTCGATGAATGTTCTCCCCAACATAATTTGATATAAGGAAAAGCAACCTGATGGAGGGATCAGCTACAATGCATGCCGACCGTCGACCACCGAAGAGGCACTCACATCTGCCTCCCATTGAAGTGCCAGACAAAGCTGGCTTTGTAAGCCGGCTAAAGGCACATGCTCGGTGCATACAGCCAGATCGTGGCGAATTCAGATGTAGCATACTCCAGCACACTCCACGTTGGCAGCATCCACGCAGTAAAGTCATTG